CACAGTGCCTCCAGGGCCTGAGCACTAGAGAAAATGTGGGGGCATGCAGTTGGCGCATTGCATAACATTTAACATTTAGACCTTGCATCTAACTTTGCCCATTAACTCAAATAAGTTTGGTGTTTTGCAGGCTTCAAAAATGTTTCTTACGACGTATTTCAGACCGCCTGTACAAAGTCTGGGGGAGATATTACTTCCCATTCTTTTTTAACATGGCTGTTGGACCATTCCGGCACGTGAGACTTTTTCCTCTCCTCAGCTCCTGCTTCGTTGAAGCATCCCGTGAAAATGGGCCTGCTAAACCCTTCGGGGTGACAGCTCGTTGCTTGTGTAGTATGTTCCCAGTACACGCCAGACACAGATGGTGGCTTTGCAGTCGTTTTTTTGACTTTCTGAACAGGTCAGCGTTGCAGGTTATGGAGTACATCGAGCACTACCCCTACAGAATCCCCAAGGAGGATCTTTTCGACCAAGATAGTGATGTTATATTCTTGCTGTGCCATCCGAGTAAGGGCACACTGCGTTAGTGCACGCGGTTGTCAAAAGTGGCAGCAGTTAGACCTCTCTTCGAGCTCACGACAACTCATTTATACTTCTGTTTGGTGCAGCCGGAAGAGAAAACAAAGGATCTGCTTGCAGTGGCTGCATAATGGACCGCTATCTGGGGCACTTATTGGCGAAATCGGAAGCAGCAGTTTCCAACGCATGCCAGCTCATCCTGTCAGGTCCGTACAAACCAGAGCACTCAAATGTTACCGATAGGCGCATAATAAAAGCTAGTATATACAGCGTACCGCACAGAAAACACTAATTGGATTCTAGTTTGAAGTGATGATGGGGCCCCAAATGGCGAAGTACCTCCTTTTCTGGGCGGCTATGATGCATTCCACAGGTGACGCCAGAAGGCTCTCAGCAGTTGCCCAATCTTATTCGTTTCCCTTGGAAAAGCTCAACAGGGCAGTATGCAGGCTCAAAGTAATACTGCTGATGCTAGGAAAGTATGCACTCGCCCCCCTTGACCGACCCCTATGTAAATGCCACCCCAAGGTTCCTCGTTCAGTAGGGCACACCATCTGTATTCGGTTTTGAGACTTCAGGCTAAGGGAAAAGAGTGTACAAAATGAAAAGAAAGATGAACCTGATACTCGCGATCTCTTCAAACGGTAACCTGAACGAAGCATGTAGAAGGATGCGGGGCGGGGGGAAGGCGGGGTTCTGGTTGTGAACGAAGCTTTCCTGCTGGGATCGAGATGAAATGCAGCGTTCCGCTCATCCGTGCACATTTACGTACAAATTTTTGATTTGCAGGCAATCAGTTGACCACGGGTTGACGAGCCAGCAGCTGGAAGAGACCGTTAAAATTGGAGGAAGT